CGATTGTGATCAGAAAAAATACACAGAATAATTCCAATTTTTTTGAATTTGTTAAGACTTGCTTTGTGACCTAACATGTGGTCTGTCCTGGAAAATGTTCCATGTGCTGATGAGAAGAATGAATATTCTGAGGTTGTTTGGTGGAATGTTCTGTAGATATCTGCCAAATCCAATTGGTCTAAAGTATTGTTTAGATCTTGTGTTTCTCTGTTGATTTTTTGCCTAGATCATCTGTCCAACGATGAGAGTGGGGTGTTCAAGTCTCCCACTATTATGGAGTTAGTGTCTATTTCTTTCTTTAGATCTAATAGTGTTTGCTTTGTAAATCTGGCTGCTCCAACATTAGGTGCATATATATTTATGATTGCTATGTTTTCTTGATGGATAGATCCTTTTATCATTATATATTGGCCATCTTTATCTCTTTTAATGGTTTTTGCTTTAAAGTCTATTTTATCTGATGTAAGATATCAGCTCATTTTTCATTTCTACTTCCATGATATATCTTTTTCCATCCTTTCACTCTTAGTGTACCTGTGTCTTTACAGGTCAAGTGAGTCTCTTGAAGACAGCATATTGTTGGGTCCATCTTTTTAATCCAGTCAGTCAGTCTGTGTCTTTTGAATGGGGAATTTAGTCCCTTTATATTCAGAGTTATTATTGAAAGGTGCTGATGTACTCCTAGCATTATACTGACTTTTGTTTAGATGTCTTAAGTATGTTTTGTTCCTTTCTTTCAAATTTTCTGTTTGTCTTCTGTATTTGTTGATTTCTTAGTGTAATAGATAAACTATTTTTTCTCTGTATCATTACTATTTTTGTTTTGCTGGGAGGTATTGTTCTTTCTTGTGTATTCGTGGTAGTGATGGTTGTTATTGTGGTATCAAACCCAGTACTTCCTTGAGAATTTCTTGTAAGGCTGGTCGTGTGGTAGTGAACTCCCGCAGTTTTTGTTTGTCCTTCATTTTGGAAGGATAGTCTTGCTGGATAAAGTATTCTTGGCTGGCAATTTTTGTCCTTTAGTGTTTTGAATATATTATCCCATTCTTTTCTGGCTTTTAGAGTTTCTGATGAAAAGTCTGATGTTATTCTTATTGGGGCTCCCTTATAAGTGACTTGCTGCTTCTCTCTTGCAGCTTCAATTTTTGTCAGTTTGATTATCACACGTCTTGGAGAGGACCTTTTTGGGTTGCATGTATTTGGTGATCTTTGGGATTCCTGAACCTGGGATCTGTGACTTTACCTATACCTGGGAAGTTTTCTGCTATTATCTCATAGAGTATGTTTTCAATGCCATTTCCTTTTTTCCTCCCCTTCTGGAATACCTATGATTTGGATATTTGAGCACTTAATGTTTTCACTTGTCTCTCGTAAGTTTTCTTCAATTTTTTAAATTCTTTTTTGTTTTTTCTGTTGTGCCTGTGATAATTCAAACAGCCTGTCTTTTTAAGGTCAGAAATTCTCTCTTCTGCTTGTTCAAGTCTGCTGGTTAAACTCTCTGCTGTATTTTTTATTTTGTTGAATGAATCCTTCAGCCCCACAAGCTCAGCTACATTCTTTTTCAAGGCATTGATTTCTTTATACATTTCTTCTTTCAGATCCTGTATGTTTTCTCTCGTTTCATTGTGTCATTTCACTGAATTTTCTTGTATCTCTTTTAGTTTCTTTAGAATAGTTACTCTAAATTCCTTGTCTGTTATTTCAAAGAATCCCTGTTCTATAGGATCTAGCACTTGTAAATTATTCATTTCCTTTGGAGGCGATGTACTTTCTTGATTTTTCATATTTCTGGTTTCTTTCCTTTGGTGTTTTGTCATTGTGGCTGGGGGCATCACAGTACACTTGCTTCACCCTGATGTCTGGCTTGGATCCTGAAGGGTCTGCTGCTTCTGGACAGCAGAACTAGCCATGACCGGAAGTCCCACCCCACCTGCCTTCACCGGCTTGTCAGGCTTAGGGCTCAGAAGCCCATGCCTCTCAGGTCACTCACAGAGACAGACAGCCTGTGCCAGAAGTCCCACCCTGCCTGCGTTCACCAGTTTGTCTGGCTTGGGGCTTGGGAATCCAGAGCCTCTCACGTCGCTCAGGGAGATGAGGCCGCCTGGGCTGAAAGTCCTGCCCTGTCGGCCTTCACCAGCTCATCTGGCTTGGGGCTTAGGATCCCAGAGCCTCTCAGGTCGCTCACGGAGACGGGACAGCCTGCGCCAGAAGTCCCGCCCTGGTCCGCTTGCCTTCTCTTGCCGGCAGGCTCGGGACATGTGGGCCCAAAAGCTCCAAAGCTCCAAAGTCTCTTTAGGAAATGGGGAGCAACCTGAACTGGGGTCCTGCGGCAGGGGGCTCCTGTCCATTCCAGCACAGACCTCGGGTCCTCCACCACTGCTCCTCAAAAGCTGCAAATTGGTCACTCTGTGGGACAGAGCGACACCAGGAACCGACTACTCCACCATCTTGACCCCTCCCTCTATGGCTCTTATATCTATTCTGATGATCACTGACTTTTAATTGGGGTGTTTAGATCATTTACATTTGATGTGATTATTAACATATTTGGATTTAAATCTACATCTTGCTATTTTGTCTCCTATTTGTTCCAACTCTTCTTTGCTGCCTTTACCCTCTTTTTCTGCTTTTTTTCAGATTAACTGAGTATATGTTTTAACATATACTGAATATATCCTGTTGGTTTATCATATAAAACTCTGTTGTGTTATTTTAGTGGCTGCTTTAGGACATGTAGAATATATCTTAAATGTATAGCAGTTTACTCTGAAGTGATGTATGATGTCTCGTATAATATTAAGAACTCTACAAAGGTCTACTTCCACTTCCTTCCCCAGCCTTATGCTACATTTTACTTTTACATATGTTTTAAACATCTTATATCACTTTTATTACATCCTTGAAGTATTCAATTGTCTCTTTAAAAGATTTATACAATAAGGGGAAAAAGTCATGATATTAACCTATGTGGTAATTTCCTCATCCCTTTCTACAGATCCATGATTTCATCTGGGATCATGTTCCTTCTATGTGAAGGAATTCCTTTAATGTTTTGCTGGGTAGGTATGCAGGTGCTGAATTCTTTCACCTTTTACATTCCTGAATAAGTCTATCTCAACTTCATTCTTGGAAAAATATTTTCACTGGGTCAAAAATTCTATGTTGAGGCTAACTTTTACTTTCAGTAGCCCCACTGTCTTCCAGCTTGCACTATTTCCTATAAGAAATCTTCTGTTATGCCTTTGTCTCCCTGTATGTAAGATGGGTCCCCACCCACCACCTACACCCACCCCAACTCCCACCTGCTTTTTAAGATTTTTCTCTCTATCCCATGTCTTGATCAATTTGCCTTGATGTAGTTTTCCTCATGTTTCTTTTGCTTAGGGTTCTTTAAAGCTTCTTAAATCTACAGGTTTATAGTTTTCATCAAATTTGGAAAATTTGGGGCCATTATTTCTTCAAAATCCACCATCTTCCCCCTCGTGTGGTGACTCCAATTATGCACAGATTAGGCCATTTGAAGTTGTCCCACAGCTCACTGATGTTCTGCTCATTTGTGTATTTGTTTTCTGTTTCATTCTGGATAGTTTCTATTGTTACATAACTTCAACTTCACTGATCTTTTCTTCTGCAATATCTAATCTGCCATTAATTCTACCCAATGTATTTTTTATCCTGCACATTGTAATTTTCATCTTTAGGACTCTGGTTTGGGCATTTAAGTATCTTCTAGGCTCTACCTAACATATTCAAGTTTTCTTTTACTTTCTTGAAGATATGGCATGTGGTTAAACTAACTGTTTTGATAAGTAAGTCTATCACTTGTGTCATTTATGTCATAATTTTTTTCCTTGTATGAGTTGTATTTTCCTGCTCATTTGCATATCTGATCATTTTTGACTGGATGTGAGACACAGTGAAGTTTACCTTGTTGGGCTCTTCATATGTTTATATTCATAAAAATATTCTTCAGCTTTGATTTCTGTGATATGTTAACTTACTTATAAACAGTTTAATTATTTCAGGTCTTGCTTTAAAGCTTTGTCAGTGGGATAATAGCAACAATTAGTCTATGGTTAATTTTCCCCCCACTACTGGGGAACATCATTCTAAGTACTCTGATCAATGCCCTCTGAATTATGAGGTTTCTGGGAGCAGGCTCTATCCCCTGCCTTATGTGAGCTCTGGAGAATTTTCCTTCTGGTTTGTTCTTTGGCCCCACACACATGTGATTGCTGGATTCAGCTCTGCAGGTCTCTGGAGTTCTCTTTCTGAACAGTTCTCCCCTCTCTGGTATCTGTATACTCTAGGTGTCCTGGCCTCCTGGGACTTCCAGTTCTGTCTCCTCTACACTAAGGGAGTCTGCCTGGCTTTTCCTTCCTGTGCCACTCCTGGAAACTTTCTGCAGGCAGTCCACTGGGGCAATGTTTAGAACTTGCCTTGTTTGTTTCCCATTTCTCAGGGAACACTGTACTGTTGCCCAATATGCGATGTCTTTAGGGTTATTGTTCCATATATTTTGTCTGGTATTCTCATTATTTCTAGGATGAGGGAGGCCCCTATTACTCTAACTTGGCTAGTAATTCCCATCAATTTTTAAAAACTAGTGGATTTGGTTACTTTGTTTAAAAAACAGTACTATTTGTGTGTCCTTTTCCCCCTCACTCCTACCATTTCCTCTTATTTACAGTTTTAGTACCATGCATGTTACACGAAATGCCAAATACAATTCAGTAGATGACATGGGGGAGAAGGACAAAAAGAAGCTTAGTACTATAAATCAAAAATTCAGAATTGATTTTTTTTCCTCCCAATATAGGAGTCATATAGGTAAGCCGACAAACTGACATCTGAACCTATTTCTGCCAAATGAGTCATTAACATTATTTGAGATTATTATAAATGTTCTGAAAAACAAAGTGCCAAGACACTATAACAGCATTAAAGCAAACAGACACAAAGGAAAACGTAATACTGAAAATAATGCTTTCACGTAATACCTTCTGTTGCCATGCCCCAACTTCCCATCTTCTGCCTCACCCCAAGAGTAAACTTCCCCTTCTGAAGAGAGGGCCAGGCAGTGTTTTCCTCCTGAGTTCACAGCTACTTTCTTTATAAACACATGCTGAATGGACTCAAGCAATGTTGGGGTTGATACCGACTCTGTTCCTCCAATTCCTAGTCTGCCTCCTGCACCATACCCAGTGGCATACAGCTGAGACAAGAAAAAGCAATAGCAACATCAGATTTTTATCTAAATATCCTGATATTTAGTAATTAGTTAACCTAGCTAGTGCTCTAAACATTTTTACCACGGAGAAATGAAATTTAAAACTAAAAACCACAGGAATGTTTAAGACTTTATACGTGCTTTATCAAAGCACAAAAATGAAAAAAAACTTATGACTATTATAAATCCCAAAATAACAAAATGTATTTTGAAAATAAGGTCTTCTCTTTAGAAGCTTTTCCATTTTTGTCTAGAATACCAACTACAATTAATACCAAGAAAAACAAAAAAAGATTTAATTATCTACTATGATGCAAATCCTTGACAATAACAACTAAAGAAACATACCCATAGAAAAACTATAAATATATTTTAATATTTCAGCAAGGCAGCATATAAACCACACAGTAGAAAACTTTTTCCCCCCACTCAAAGTAGGTAATTGTTTTGGAACACAAAACATCTTAATCATTAATTTAAAAAAAAAAATCAGACTGACACTTCCAAAGGCATGGCAAACATTCCTCCCAATGAAAATTTAAATGCTGTCTCACACTGAGAAAATTTAAATGATGTTTTATACTGTTTTAAACGTTTTTCAAATGTGCTGCTGCACTGATACAAGAGTAAGGATATGACAAGGGCTAAAACAGGAAGTAAACCACAACTCAGTGGATAAACATGCCCCAAAGGCAGCTCCTCCTGGGAAGGTCTTGAAGATCTCAAGCACACAGGGTGTGGAGTGAAGGCATAAGCCTTGGAGGAGACCCTATAGAAAGGCGAAGCTCCACAGGGCTGCCTCTCAGTGTGACCACGAATGAAAATAACAAGAGAAGAACAAGGTCAGTTGTTTTCCACAATTTCAATGAATAAGAGGGAGAAACTGCCCTGGGAATTCATAACCCAGGCGCTGACCCTCAAGTTGGTTTTCAGTCTGAATTTATGCTACCTATAGACTAAAATCTACAGGCGAAAATTTAATTCACAATAGCTTAGGTTGATAATGTCCCAAGTCTATACATTCTCTTTGGATGAGTGATTTTGAACTAGGCCTCAAATAATTTCTACATAAAATTTTCCAAGTAAAATGGTCAGCTAAGTTTTAAAAATTCACACTATACAAAAGGAAAGAAGGCACCATGAGGGAGAGCCAGCAGTAGACAATAGTCTAATTTTATGTTCGAAGAAATAAAAGCTTGAAAGTACATCCAAGGATACAAAATAACCCAGAGCAAAACTTCCAGGAATTAAAAAAATAACTGAAATTCAAAACTCAGACATATTAAACAGCAGAATGTACACAGGTGAAGACAAACTAGAGAACTGGAAGATCAATCTGAAGAAATTATCCAGCATATGAGAAAGAAAGACAAAGAGGAAGCAGGAAAGACCTTCTCATGCTGACACCCATCAGAGTTTCAGGGAGAGATTCCACAGAGGACATAGGAGAATTTATTTTTTCCAGTATTTGGAAAAAATAATGTCTGGGAATTTACCAGAATTGTTGAAAGACTAATTGTCAGAGCCAGGAACCCACCCCCCTCCTTTAATCCCTCACCTCCTAGCAAAAAAACAAAAACACAAACAAAAAAATGGTGGGTACAATGAAGACAAACTGACATCCAAATATATCACAGTGAAACTGTAGATCACCAAAGAAAGATCTTAACAGCATCCATGGAGAAAAGATTTATTACCTCCCTTTAGGTAAAAGTTAGTCTGACTGCTGACATCCCACTAGTAACACTGAAAGCCAAAAAAACAGAAGAATATAATAGGCAGTCTGAAAATAATTATCAACTGTAAACTTTACACTCTAGAACAGGGATTAGGGTTAGGGTGGAAAATTACAGCTCATAGGCCAAATCAAGCCCATCACCTGTTTTTGTCAATAAAATTTTTCTGGAACACAGCCACATCTACTCATCTACAATATGCCATGTCTGCTTTCACAGTTAAAACAGAGACCATATGGCCCCAAAAGCCAAATACACTATGGTACCCTTTACAGAAAATGTCTGCCAACCCCTACCTTAGAAGAGGGGCAAAGTAAAGATATTTTCAAATAAATAAACAAAAACAATCAGAGAACAGTGATGGAGTGTCACTTCTGTGATTCAGTCAGACAAGATTGTGAGCTCCACCTTGGTAACCCTCCTTCCCTTGCTGGTGATGATGGAGCCAGCTGGCAGGCTGAGAGATGCTCCAGGGACACAGGGCAAGGCAGTGAATGAGGACAGCCTCAGCCCAACAGTCCAGGAGGAACTGATCCTTCCTCTTATAGCCTTGAGGTGACGGCAACCTGGTAAGAGTTTCTGAGCTGCAGGACTGAGCTATGCTGTCTCCAGAGTCCTGATCCAGAGAGACTGTGAGATGATAAATGTATATTAAACAGACAACTAATAGAGTATCAAAGCCAGACAAGGAGTGTGTAAGACAGGAACATTATTACATGATGGTGGCTCACTCATGAACATGGATCTCCCAAAAACCCTAAACAAAATATTTACAAACACAAACCAAAAGTATATAAAACATATCCTGATCAAGTTTATCCACAGAATGCAAGCTTATTTAATATGAGAAAACCATGCATTAATCCAACTTACTATATTAATCCATAAAGGAGAAAAAACATCTATAAAAGAACATTTCAAAAAATGCACAAAGAGACAAAATCCAATATCCATCCATGAACAGAAACAGAAAGGGAACTTCCTTAATTTGGTAAAGGGCTTCTGCTCAGAGCCCACAGAAAGCATGTGCACTGTCCCATCTCAGGGCTTCCTCCACAGTCTGCATCAGGACAAGAACCTGCTCAGCACCAACACTCCTGCCCAGCACTACACTTCAACTCCCAACCAGCACAATTAGCCACCTTTCTCCCATATAAAAGGAAAAGCATAGAAGAGGTACAGTGAAAAGGAAGGAACAAAACTCATTTACCAATTAAGGCTATCTCTAACAAAGACACAAAAAATCCTGAGATAATTAGAAAGAAGAGTAGAGTAAGGTCACCAGACGTAGCATCTATATATAAACATCAACTATTTCTACACATCAGTAGCAATTAATTTTTTAAAAGATAACATTTACAATAGCAAACATGAACGGAATACATCTGATGAGTAATATGCAAAAAAAAATTATAAAGTTTTTGTATATATGATGTATTTCAAAATAAAAAAATTTAAAGTAATAGAACAATGATAAGATTATGCAGAAATATCTTAGAACTGTGACTGCTTCCAACACACTTTAAGTACTATTAATCTTGAGATAGTATTTTAGTACAGACCCCGACATGTACAAAGAAACCACACAATGCACCTAGCCATGACTGTCTCAGTTTTGACAGTATGACCCAAAAATTCACCTTCCTTACCTTCCCATCAGCTGTCACAGCAAAGAGAGTTTGTTCTCCTCCAATTAACTGCACCGGTCTGAGAGTCGCCAGGGCTTCACATGGAGTGGGAACTTTAACTTTTGCACCTTCAATGCCCCCAAGCTGCCCCCTATGATTATGTCCCCATCCATAAATTGTTCCACTGCCACCAGCAGAAAGGGTCCAGTCATCTGGTCGCCTACAAGAGAACATTTGACGTGGGAAAGAAGTGCACACGGAGCCTCTTTCACTTGCATAGTTTCATTTCTTGCTTCTGATACAATACCTATTCATCCACTGCACAAGCTGCTCATCCTGCTCTCTTCTGAAAACGCCATGGCTCTCATGGAGGACATCCATGTCTTCACCGTCTGCCATCAACTCACGGATTTTCTTAGCCACCTAGATGACATTATTGTAAGATTATGATTAAACATTCATCTCTACAATAAAACAAATAAATATTAAGGTAAGAAGACAGGAGGAATCCTTGTCTGGGAATACGAGGAAATGCAACAACAATGTCATGACTTTATGGCTAATAAGTGAAATCAACATAATTACATCAAGGGTAAGACATTAAAGATGTCTAGACGGTGTCATTACATCCTTAGTCTACTTTGCTAAAAATAAACTTGAACTGATATGTACAATGTCTGTTTACTCACTTTCCTGTGGGTTTTTTTTTTTGTCCTTTTTGAGACCCGCCACACCGCGCTCAGCCAGTGAGCGCTGTGAGCGCACCGGTCATCCCTATATAGGATCCGAACCCGCAGCGGGAGCGCTGCTGCGCTCCCAGCGCTGCACTCTCCCGAGTGCGCCACGACTCAGCCCCCTGTGTTTTTCTTTATGGTAACCTTAGCAAGAGAAATTTTTGTGTCTCCTAATATTGGCATCTTTTTATGATACAGCTAAATAAAAATCCTTTGTTGCTCTTGGAAATGCAGTCTATACTCTGGTATCACAGCACACAGCTCTCAGGATCGCGCTGATTCCTGACGCGGGCACTCCAGACCCATCGCCATTTTTCATCATTTAAATTTCTTGATCTTTTTAAAATATCAATTGACCATAAATATTAGATTTTGCATCTAAGCACTCAATTCTGTAAATCTGATCTAATGTCAGTAGCACACTGTCTTGATTATTGTAGCTTTGTAGTTTGTATTGAAATTAGGGAGTGTGAGTCCTTTTACTCTTTTAATAAAATTATTTTGAACATTCTGGATCTCTTTCATTTTCATAGTCTCTATTTCTGGATCATGTTTCATGAAAACTTGAGAAAAATGCTTATTGTACTGTTTGCAGGGGAATATTCTTTTTTTTTTTTTTTTCCTTTTTGTCTTTTTTCGTGTCCGGCAACGGATTGCAACCCTCAGTGTTGCGCCCGGACTGGACCGGGACCGGCAACGGGATCGCAACCCTCAGTGTCGCACCCGCACCTCGCTCAGCCAGTGAGTGGGAACCGGTCTGTATGTGGGATCCGAACCCTCGGCGGGAGCGCCACCACGTTCCCAAGCGGCACACTGTAGCAGTGCGCCACCGGGCCAAACCCTCGGCGGGAGCGCCACCACGTTCCCAAGCGGCGCACTGTAGCAGTGTGCCACCGGGCCGGCCCCTGCAGGGGAATATTCTATAGATATCTATTAGGTTATAGTTTTGTTTTGGCCTTCAATATCTCTGTTGATTTTTTGCCCATTTATTCTATTATTGAAAGTTATGTTCTTAAGTCTCAAACTATTACTGTTAACTTTTCTATTTCTCCTTTTAATCGTGTCATTTTTTACTTTGTGTAATTTTCTAGCTCTGTTTCTGGATGCATACATGTTTATAGTTTTCATATCTTCCTGATAGACATCCCAGCTCTCTTGTCATTGCTCTTTGCATGGTATATCTTTTCAATCCTTTTTCTTTCAAGTGATCTGTATCTTTAAAAATGTAGTACATGTCCTCTAAACACACTGAAATCTTATAGTTTAAAGCTAACATTTTCTTTCCACAGTTACTGACTTATCGATACTGAAATTATACCTTGTTTCTAGTCTCTTTTATTTTTTATATTTTCCATTTTTCACACTGATTTTGAATTATAGGATTTGTTGTTTAAAAACTAGTATGTTGGTAATTTAAATAATTTCTTCACTATTTTGAATTTTAGAAGAATAAGAAACATTAAGTATTAAGCAATGCATATTTAGATCTAAAAGGTAATTATATTTTACAGTATGATCATATGGGCGCTGATACGTCTGTTGTCACTCAAAAAATTTTTCAGTTGATTGGATTGACAAATGCTGTAAGTGTTTGCTTTTGCACTTTATGTGTTGCTGAAACAATTCCTGTACCTTCTGATATGACACTGCCTGAATACATATTGTGTGATCTAGGGAAAATTAAATTTCACTTTAAGTTGCAAGTTTCTTATCTGTAAAATAATAATAATAATAATAATAATAATAATAATAATAATTGTAAATACCTAATTAGGTTGTTTAAATAATTAAATTAATTTAAGCATGTGGAATGAAACTCACTTAAGTGCATGTATCTTAAAATATTAAGTATTACTTGTATTTTTAAGAGCTTTTATTACTAATTAATGTACTTTAAAAGATCCAATCTAGATTATAGTTCAGTTGTTTAATATTTATCATAAGTTCATTTTTATAGATATGTTAATAAATCTATCACTTGTATTTTTAAGAGCTTTTATTACTAATTAATGTACTTTAAAAGATCCAATCTAGATTACAGTTCAGTTGTTTAATATTTATCATAAGTTCATTTTTATAGATATGTTAATAAATCTATCTTAACCATGATTTTTAAACATATTTTTTGTATTTGTTTTATTTTAGATTTTTACTTCATTTAATATTACAATAATTCTATCTTCATTGGAGCTTTGGATAGATGAAAATAAAATTCTAACCACTGGAGATGCTAATGAGTTATTACACAGGTTTTTAGTATGGAAAAGGTCTTATCTTGTGTTACGTCCGCATGATATGGCATTTTTACTTGTGTAAGCATATCCTGACATTATTAAAGCTTATACAAAGGAAACATCCAGTTTGGCCTAATTTCTGCCAGTTGGCAGGCCTTTAGGGAAAAAAATCTTCTGTCATTTTTTTCTGACATGTAACACTGTGTGAATATTATTTTTTACAACACAGTATTTATAATAACATTATTGATATAAATAACTTTGTTTATTGGTTTGTAGTTAAAGCTAATCTCTTCAATCTTGTTACCATAGGTCTTCTTACCTTAGAGAGTATACCACTTCATTAAATGTCTGTAACTGTGCATAAAATATTAACAATATCTGTTTGAAGAAGCATATATGAATTCTATGAATATAGTAATTTAGTCTTTGTATTATGATTTGTAATCATAAAATTTAAAAAAAATGAAGAAATGAAAACAATATTGTATGTATTAGGGGTTATATTAATGCCTGTATTATAATATAGCCACATTGTGTTGAAGTGTTTTGCATGTAAGCCTCACCTTCTATTTAAAAAGTTCGTTATTTTTCTCTTATCTATCTATCTATATATCCGGATTATATATATATATTTAAATATATACACACACACTATATATATATATTTAATGAAATTATAAATATATATTTTGTTTAAAATTTTAATCTTTTTTCTGGTTTTTCCCATAAATACACCATACTTTTGCATGGCTATGGAAGACTAGCTCTGTCTGATGAAGGGGAGTCTTTAGTCCATAGGGTGCCTCTGCGCATTGATCTGCTGCATTGCTTTATCTTTCCAATTTTAAGTGATTTTATTTATTTTTATTATTTTCATTTTGGAGAATTTATTTTAGTTTAAAAAACATTACATGAAATAAATCTTTATTATGTTATAGAAATCTATATGAAAATATACTTTCTATTATTTGTTTTATAATCTATTTTTTTCAAAAGATGTAGAAACATTTAGTTGCATCCTTTGCTATGTTACACCAATGTTAGGTGGAAATACTTATAGGTTTAATACAAATGTACAAAACTCAAATTTAGCTTGTAAAAATTTAGTATTAACTGTGCATACTTTTACTAAGTTATATGATTATAATCACTTTTTAAATTTAAGCTACAGAGAAAAACCAAATTATGTTGGTGCAACGTTTCAAGGGAAGATGTGTGATAAAAACTATGCAGGAGGTGTTGCTCTGGTATGGTATGGCTTAATTTGCTTGGCTAAAATTTATAGATAGCATGCTACTTAAATTTACATACAATTAAAGATTTTCTTATTTCTGTGTATATTAAAATTTGCATTATTCTAGGGCTCTTTGTCCTTGTTGCAAATAAAAAATTTTAAACTGTAAGAAGTCCTCATTGAACTCACTACATATAAAATTTTTACAATTTTCCTCTCATGAGTTCAACATACCCATCTTAGGAGGTTGTTAAGGTAGTGATCCATTTCAGTCCTATTACAAAATGCTCATCAATTTTTCATAATATTAATATTTAATCATTAATTTATTTTAATTTAAAGCACATATTTTATACATTTTCTTAATGACTCAGCTAACATAATTATGAACCAGATTAAAATAAAAATGTGAAACTATTTGTCAATTGCCTTAAAATGCTTCATTGGGCATAGATGTATAACACAGCCATATGCCCTAATTGACATTATTTGTCTTAGCAGAAAATCTTAGTGTATTCGAAACCAGTATGTTTTACCTCTATTTTGTGATTATGGTTATTCCCACAAATAGAACTTGGCTTTTTATTTTACTTTGTGTGTGTTTGCACACTGTCTCCTGGAGTATCAGAGAGGCAACTCATAATACTCTTGTTTCAGTGAACAAGTTAAATGAAGCTAAGAGAAGATATAAGAAGATGAATCAATCAAGTGGGGACAAAAATTCATCATTAAAATTTATAAATCATAGTTTGGAAAATTTGGCTTATATTTTATGGACAAGTGATTTACCTAGTCTCAAAAGCTGGAATTTGGCTGACTTACTCCAATAGTCACATGTAACATTAAAAAATCATGACTCTCACATGGAGTAATACCTCCACTGATTAACAAAAACGAGAGCTGAACGTATTTTCTGTGAAGGCAGGCTAGCTACCAAGAAAAAGGAAACACCATAGTTTACTGGAAAGTGTGTGGCTTATAAGCAGAAAGCAATGGTTTCCATAGTGGGAGGGGCAATCAAATTAATTAACATACCACATCCATCACCAACCACAGTTACCAGAGCATATTCATCTTATAGCTGAAGGTTTGAACCCCTTGACCAACATTTCCTACACCCCCCAGCCCCTGGTAACTACAGCCCTGAACTCTGCTTGTATGAGTTTTACATTTCCAGATTCCATGAATAAGTGAGATCATCAAGTATTTGCCTTTCCATGTCTGGCTTATCTCACTTGGCACAGATGATTTTTGATGACATATAACATAAAAGAGAATATAGATGAATCAAGTCTGGAAAATGAGAAAAAGTTGAAGATAAATCCTCAGTACTTAGATATTGCAGTGTAAATAAACTGATCAGTGCAACAAAGTAGGAAACCTAATAATACACCCAGACATATTTAATTAAGTGATTTTTTGACAAGTTGCCAAAACAATTCCTGTCATACACTATACAAAAATGCCAAATATAATTAATATCAGGTATTCATAATAGACTTTAAGTAAGAATGTTTTTTTCAGATATTGAAGAGATCATCACTGGAAATTGACAATATCAAAAAATATTGATAAAATAATTCATGTTAAAACTTAAAGTAGAAGAATAAAGACAGAACAATTAGGAAATTTTAGTACCTAATGTCATACAATTGCAAAAAATAAAGAGAAAAGCGGTGAGCTGATTATCTAACCTAAAATATATGAAACTATCAAAACAAAATAACACTGAAACATGCAGAAGGAAGGATATATGAAATAATGCCAAATGATAAAGATAAAAGCAGAAATCATTGAAAGACAAATGATAGGTAGAAAAGATATAGTCAAAAAGGATATTAGATCTTTTGAAAAATAAAAAACATATCTCTGGCAAAACTAATTTTTACAAAATAGAATAGAACAATTTATACCTTAAGTAAATTTTAAAACTTAGACAAATAGTAAATTGTTACCAAGAATCAATAATTTACTAAAACTTATACAAGAAGAACTAGAAATACAAAATAATACCAGACTACTAAAAAATGTATTTGTTACTTAAAAATTTCACAAGGGAAAAATGCTTTTAGGGGCATTGCTGCACAATTTTGAGGAAACTGATCGTTTCAATCTCATACATTTATAGAGAACAGAAAAGGAGTAAAACACTCCACAGGCTAAGAAGCCAGAATGACCATGATAATAATAGTATTGTATCGAGGACTTTACACAAAGGGAAATTAGAGGTTAATCCAATCATGATCAAGAGAAGAGGTAAAAATCATAAATCAAAATACTCACAGACTGAATCCAGCAGTCTCTAAAGATAATAGAACATGACCAAAGTGACTTTATCCAAAGGAAGTAGGATTATTAAACCTTAGAAAATATATTAACATCATTTAACTTAAAATAATGTCACAATATTATGTCCATTAATAATATTTGCTAACAAGGAGAATGTTGTGGAGTATGCATAAAGCAAATATCCTTCACAGGGCCTGGTTTTCCAAAGCCTTGCAGTTTCAAATATTGACCTTCCAAAGGACAGGAAATTTTCCACAGGCTATAGTCTCCGTTGTAAGATAAAGAATTGTAACAGCAAGGTTGCTGGCTCAAAGACAGACAGTTTACTGATTGACATGTAAAGATACTGGGAAATTGCTGTAAGAAGAGAGTGTTTGCTAAAATCAAGCTTTTGTTGCAAATTGCATTATGGAAGGTCACCTTGGCTGTCTTACTGAATATTACCAGCTTCTATTGTTAAACTTGTTAAACTATACTTAGCAAAAACCCCACCTATGTTCTGTTCCTGTAACTTCCTGGCCTGGAGAATAAATGTGGGAAGAGAACCCCAATTCGTGGTTAATTTCCCAAATTGAAGGAATGCCTCACTCTTGAGGGTTCTGGGAGATTAACCCCTTTTCGGGGCTTCTCACTGCTCAGAAGAGATGGGCGTTGAGTAATCTTTGCCGGCTCCATCGCCCAGGGGAAAAGGGGTGACAAATCCATGGGAGGCAAAGCAACAGAATGTGGCAATAATTGATGGGATCTGGAGTAGGCTATTGTAGCTAGTGCTGTCAGAGAAAGACTGTGAGGAGGCAACAAGGACGAGGAGGCATGTATGATGTGAGAAAGGAGCCAGGCAAGGTCTAGGAAATCAGAATCATGTTCAACGATTTTCAGATGGGAATGAATGTTCTTGTCAAGTGGGCTGTGAAAATAATGTTAGTAGAAGTATGAAAGAGTCTAATTATATAGAACGTTATAGATCTTGGTAAAGAGATTTGAATTTTATTCTCTTAGCAATGAAAAGGCACTGGAAGTTTTCAAACTAGAGAGATATTTATGTAGTTGTGCTGGGAAAAAGTAATATTAGAGAGGAAAGGATCAAAGCACAAAGACTAGGTAGGAGAAAATTTCAGGTAAATAATATAAACTTGTGTTTTATTCTTGGATATGTGAGATGTAGTATTTGAATAGGGTATATTATGAAAATAAAAGATATAGGGCTTACTAATTTTTTGGATACATAGCATGCATAATGGAAAAAAATCAATGATTATGATTATGCCTAAGATTTGTTTTGAAAAACTGGGTAAAAACAGGTGTGGCAGACTTTGGAGGAGGAAAGGAAATGGAAGGTATCATCTGTTTGAGCTGACGTACAGAATACCATCAGCCAAGTGGCTTATAAAAAAGAGAAATTTATTTTTCATGTTCTGGGGGCTGGGAACCCAGGATCAAAGTGCCAGGAGGTTCAGTGTCTGGCGAGGCCTTCCTGGTTCATAGAGGGCTGTCTCCTCACAAAGTCCTTCTGTGGTGGAAGCACAGAGAAGCAAGCTCTCTCAGGACTCTTATGAGGGCACTAATTGCAATCAGAGCCCTCATGACCTCATCTAAAACTAACTATTCCCACAAATCCCACCTTCTAATGCAGTAGTCACCTGCTTAGATCTGGTGAGGGCTCACTACCTGGCTTGCAGACAGCCGCCTTCTTACTGTGTCCTCACATGGCAGAGAGGGAGGGATGGAGAGAGAAAGATCTTCCTCTTCTTATAAGGCCGCAGTTCAATTGGATGAGGGCCCCATCCTTATGACCTCATTTAACCTTAATTACTTCCTAAAGATCCCATCTCCAGATACAGTCACATCGGGAGTCAGGGATTCAGCCCATGAATTTTGGAGTGGAAACAAAACTTAGTCTATAGCAGTAGACTTAAGGTGCAAGATGTGGTATGAGAAATAAAGAGGCCTATTTAACCATGTTAAAAGGGATTATTAAAGGGGAAGACATAACAATCATTACGTGGCATGCATCTAATTACATTGCTTAAAAATATATAAAGCAAATGTGAGAGGATCAGGGAAAAGATAAATCCATGAACATATTTGAGAGTGAGAAAACACAGCAACCTAACTTAGCAATACTATTTTCTATTTTGTCAAAATTTTTAAGACCTTATACCAAAGAGCAGCAGAACAGTAATGTAGAGAATTTACCAAAAGTAATAATAAAAGTAATAATGATGATGATAATGATATGATGGTAAATAAAGTGGTATCAAAAAACATAAAATGATTGAAATCTTACAGAGTCTGTTCTTCAGAGAATTCGTTTACTTAATCCACAATGGATTAAAATCAGAACTAAATAACAGAAAGATCCCTTAAAAATAGCTATCGGTTTATCAATAAAAAATGAAAAAAAATAGAACTTATTTTGAGCTAAATGATATTAAGATACCAGTGTATCTAAATTTATGGGATGCCAAAAAAATAAAACTGAGAGGTACATTTACAACTTGAAGTGAAAATAAAAACATAGTTTAAATACCAATCATCGAAGTCTATATCCAAAAAGCATATAGACAATGAGTTGAGGTAAAAGATTCTAAAGAAAGGAAATAATAAAAATACTGGTTACTAATGAAATAGAAAATTTATATATAATGGAGAAAATTATCAAAGTTCAAACTGATTCTTTGAAAAGATAAATAAAATTTAAAACAACTTAGCTAAACTGATATCTCAAAAAAGAGAACAAAAATTATCAAAATATTAATTGAAAAAGGAAATAACTACAACAGATCCTACACATATTAAACACATAACAAGGTATATTTTCAGCTAATTCATGGCAATAAGTTTGGCCAAAATTTATGATTTCATAGATAATAAAATTTATCAAATGAATAGAAAAATGTATGAATAATCATTGCTCTATTGGAGTAATTGAGTCTGTTATTAAAACTCTTTCCTCAAAAACAGAAAACTCTAGGCCCAGATGTCCTGCCTAAGAAATGGTTTCAAACTATTTGATGCTAATAATAAATTATATTAGAGAATGTAAAAGAAGGGGCTATTTCCCACACTGTTTTATAATTTGAGATTTATGCTAACTTTAGGAGTATGTTAGCAAAGAAAATTCTGCAATGTATAAAATGATAACAGATGAATAAGTAAGAATTATCCCAGGAATGCAAGATTAATTTTATGTTTGAAAATGAATCATAATCTACCATATTCAAAGAAATAATAAATGCAGAAAAACATTTGATAACATTTAGACCTCATTCATGAAAGAGTGAAAGAAAGAAGGATGATGCCTGGATAAGGAACAGGTGGCATATATACACAGTGGAGTACTACTCAGCCATAAAAAAGGATGAAATTCTGCCATTTGCAGCATCATGGATGATTCTGGAGCAAATTATGTTAAGTGAAATAAGTCAGACAAGGAAAGAGAAATACCACATGTTCTCACTCATAACCGGCTGCTAGGAAGGAAGGAAGGGGGCAGGGAGGAAGGAAGGAAGGAAAGAAAGAAAGAAAAGACCACAATACGCTGAACTTTCAGAAGGAGATGACAAATCCAAGGATCCTAGAGGTGGGGGGAGGGAGAGACGGGGTTTGGGAAGTGATAGGTTGGGTAAAGGGCCTAAGGAAACATCACAATTTGTAAGAATGGATATGCTAATAATATATAATAAAATTTTTTTGAAAAATGAAAGGAAGGAAGGAAGGAAGGAAGGAAGGAAGGAAGGAAGGAAGGAAGGAAGGAAGGATCTCAACAAAACATATAAAAGGGAACATCTTCAAGCAGCTTTTGCTCACTCTAAGGTCATGAAGCTTTACTTTCATATCTTCTAATACAAATTTGATTCTTTTGCCTTTCAATTATAGATTTAATAATTTGTTTGGTGGGAATTAGGGGTCAGGATTATTTAGTTCACATTGTATAGCCAATTGCTCCATAGCACTTACTGAAAAGGTTATTTCTCCTCCACAGTGTTACAGTAGTGCCCTTGTTATATAAATAGAGTCATCATATTTTTGTCCTCTTTCTGGAATTATTGGTCTATTTGTCCTTTCACCAGTAACACATTGTCTTAAATGACTATAGCTTTATAGTAAATCATCACAAACAGTAGTATAAATCCTACTAGTCTCATATTCTTCAAGACTGTTTTCCATTTACATTTTAGAATAATTTCAGGTTTCATGTTTTGTAATTTTCTTATATTTATAATAATTCCTGTAACACGTCAGTTGGGCAGACATGGATGGCACTTCTGTGGATCCAATATTATATGCCTGTAATCCATTTCACCATGTGATGATTGTTAATAATTACATTGTTCTCCTAGTAAATAAAATACCTCCAAAATGTGTGCATGTACATTTGTGCTTTTTTTTTTCTTCCAGCACCCCAGAACCATAAGTCTGGAATCACTTGCAGTTATTTTAGCTCAATTACTGAGCCTTAGTATGGGGATAGCTTATGATGACATTAACAAATGCCAGTGCTCTGGAGCTGTCTGCATAATGAACCCAGAAGCAATGTAAGATGCCTGACTTTTGTACTTTTCATATATAAGTCTTATATTAAGATAATTTTGATGCACTTATTTTAAGAAACTTTAAGCTGTTAAAATATATAATAATGGCCAAACACCATCTGTGACCAATCACCCTAGACCAAAATACACTGGTCTGTTCCAGTGCCCGTGCTGCACGTCTGTCTCAGTACCTCTCACACTGCAATACCACACTTGCTCCCTCATATGTTATCTGACTCTACATTTATCACCATGTTTACTTGTATGATTTCATAATCTAATGCATGATTTGATATGCCAAAGACAGACTTGAAATCACTAATCAAGCATTAGTATAACTTTGTCTGCATGACTCTCCTTCATTCTGCCCTGGCTCAGCCTGAGGTCTGAGCATGTGTTGATTTAAGAGATGCTACCACTCAGCTTTTTCTGTTCATGAGAGAAGGACTTTTGCAATATCCTTATCATGCCTGGAAGTCCTAGTGAACTTGTTTGCTATTTTCATCATTATTCTTTTACTATATTATGAAATTTTATAGAAGTAGGAGATTTGGGAAAACAGTCCGGTAAGTGATTGGAACCAGCCTCTTTGCGATAGAAAATTCTTGGAGACATTTTCTGGTGCCAGAATCAAGTCCCAATGCCTATAGCAGCAAATGTTTCACTCTCTGCTCCTTCACTGCTGCTTGCACAATCACTTCCCCAACATATTTGTCCTCAAGTTCTTATCTCAGGCTCTGATTGAGAGGTGGGAGGGCCCATACTAAAATAGTTTTCTTAGAAGTGGCTTTAGAATAAGGGCAACTTTGGCAGGAGATGATGTGAAAAGAGGGCATTGCAGTATGTCCAGGCTATGGTGCAAGATGCCTTTTTCTTTGGTCCTTGTGATGATTAAGAGACAATGAAACAAGGCATTCCTGGTAGATTAGGTACATGCAGAGTCTGTGGCAAGTATCAGTAGGAGATTTGCAGTGTGCACCTATAGTTCTGTTGTAGCTCCTGGTAGGCTACCCTAGGCCCTTGTAGAGTTGAGCATGTATCCAGGAAATAGTTAAGTGACTATGTTATTGAAGTTGAATATTTTCATCATAATTTAGGTATTTTCAGATCTACAGTTATAAGATCAAATGAGCGTATCAATCCATCTGATGATCAGTGTGGTATATCTGGGAACAGGCTAGAGAAGGTCGAGATAAGCACAGGTGAATAACATGAACAGGGGTCCCAGACTGCCACACCACCTACAAATAGCCTCACAGGTGTTTCCTAAAACTGAATGATGGAGGAATGGAATCTTCAGTCTTGTCTCGTCATGTTAGTTGGAGTATTTAAAAAACCCCACTCTGCTATACTAAAGTCCAATTAGAGTTGACCTAGAGACGGCAGGGATGGTAAGTGTCCCAGTAAGCATATTTCCAAACAGTACATTTGGCTTTCCACCTTGAATCGAGAGAACCAGAGATTGGGATCTACGTAGATTCCTATGCTGTGGCAAATGACTTAGATATTTGGTCAAGGATCTAGATGCTCTAAAATAGGACAACTAGAGAAAAGGAAGTGTTGGGAAGAAGCATGTGAATTTATTCAGAGTGGTACAAAGTATGCAGATGTTTACATGTGATTTTCAAGTCCCACCAGAAAGTATTGACTTCAGAAAAAGCACTCAAGAGCCTAGTCCATGAATGCCAACCTGCTCCTCTCCTTGGCAACCCATAAAACAAGCCTGTCGGTGAACAGATGCGCTCCCTCGATGGGCACCCTTCAGCCACTTTAGTGGAACACCAGCTTTCTGACCACCTAAGGACAGTTCTGTTAAATACTCTGTAAACTTCTCTGTGCTTCAAACAGCAAGAAGCCACCACTGCCATCTCGGTGACACACACTTAGGTTGACGTTTCTTCCTTTTCTCTCTCTTCATTCTGACTCCCCTATTCCTGCTTCCTAGCATCACCTCGCAAATAGGTTTCTGTAATCAAGTTTGTGCCTTACATTTTTTTCTGGTTAATTTAAACAACTGCGTATAGTTCATATTAATAATATTGAGCACTGCTCATTAAACTTTTATTTTCTTTGACTGTAATATACTTTTTTATAGTGATGATGATACATTGCTTGTGATGATGATTATAATGATTATAACAGCTGTAACGGTGAAGAAATGATAGGAAGGATTAGAAGATCTTAAATATAAATATAAGTAGCTTTTTGGACCCTCCACATCTTTCTAAATACTCACAAGGTATCCTCTGTTCAATTTTGAAAGCAGGCTATTTTGTTGGGATGCCTAATGAATTGTTCTCATCCTGGTCAGAATCCTTCAAAATGCAGTGTTTCCTCAATTTTTTTTGAAGAAAGTATTGAGTGTGAATAGATTGGTCCTCATTGTTTTTGTAATGGCACCTTATTTGCATGACTGCAAAATTTCCATTTGTGACAAGTATATAGAAACGGTATTGAGTATTTTTTATTGAGCTTGTATTTTGCAGTTTTACTAAATTCATGTATTAGTTCTGAGACTTAATTTTTCGTTTTATTAGAATTTTATTTACACATGATTACAATATATTATAAATAGAATTTTACATCTTTCTTTTCAATCTTTCTATTTTTGAAATTTCTATTTCTTGCCTTATTAGGGTGTTTAGGTGCTCCAAGTGAGAATTGTGGCTGTCTGCTTTACTCTGATTTAAGGGCAAGACCTTTAATCTTTTACCATTAAATATGTTACCTAAAGGTTTTCCATGGAGGTTTTTAATCAGATTGAGGAAATTTTCTTGTATTGCTTGTTTGCCCAAGTTTTCATCATAAATGGATTTCATCACAAATTGAAACGATCATGGGCTTTTCCTACTTTATTCTGTTGATATATTAAAATTTATTGAATTTCAGTTATTAAGACAATCTTGCTTTTCTGAGATCTACTGCATTTGGGTATGATGCATTATCTCTTTTACGTATTTATGCTATTTGTTGCTAGATTTTCCCCCAGTATTTGCGAAATATGTTTGCCTCTATATTAATGAGGCGTCAGGTCTTTAGTGGTCTTCTCTTGTCATTTCATTATCAGGGTTGCATCATCATCATCATATACTTTTCTACAAGAGACTTTGAAATATTGGCATTATTTCTTTCCAAACTGTTTGATAGAATTCACCAATGAAGTCATCTGGACATGGGGTTCTCTGTTTGGAAGGTGTTTACTTAATTTTTAAGATATAGGGCTATTTAGATTTTGGTTATTTTTATTTTTCTAATTATTTGATCATTTTATCCAAATTGATTAATTTGCCCTAAGGTTTTTTTATAATCTTCGTTTATTTTACTTTAAAAGTAGGTGAGATCTTTAGTGATATGCCCTCTTTTATCCCTAGTAGTGATAATTTGAGTTTTCTCTCTTTTTCTTAACCACTCTCACTAGGGTTTTATCAAATTTATAAATTTTTTGAAAGAGCCATGTTTTAATTTTATTAAATCTCTCTGCTTCTCCACTTCGTTTTTCTTAATTAATTAATTTGGTATTTATTTTATTTTATTTTTATCATTACACGATATGATCATTTTCTGTGACCCTTTACCAGTTTCTCGGTGACCCCGTCCCCTCCTCCTTTTCTGCCTCTGGTGGCCCCAGTTCTGTTCTCTCCTTTAGAAAGCTCAAGGAATTCTTGTGATTGTTATTGCTTTCTTTGTTTTTCTTTCTTTATATCTAGTTTGTGATAAACTTGTTCCTCTTTTTTTCCTAGATTTTTAGTGTGAAAATTCAAATAATTGATTTTAAACTTTCCTTCTTTTTGTGTAAACTCTTTAAAGTTACACATTTCTCTGTAATCACAGCTTCAATAGCACATCACAAACTTTAGTATTTTGTATTTCATCTTCATTTAGTTGAAATATTTTGAAATTTTCTTTGTGGTTGCTTTTTCTAAGTAAGCAATTTTAGATATGTCAGTTGATTTCTAAATATTTGTGAATTTTCTAGATATCTTTTTGCTATCTGATTTAATATCTGCTGTGTTCTAAAAAACATACTTTTCAGATGTCCATCTTTTGAACTTTATGACAGTTATTTAATAAAAGTATTTTTTAATCTTTTGCTTTCTACTTTTTAAATTGATTCTTTATGGTGTACATGCTTCACAATATAATGTGACAGTATGTGTTGAAGTGTTGTTTTTCTGTTTTTAGTTAATATGCCTCTAATGATTTCGTTGAAATTATATTTAAATATAGATTTTATTATTTTTTTCTAATGAATGTTGCTTATATAAAAATGCAAAATATTAGAAACAGGTTTTGATTATGGATTGAGAAAAAGATGCTCATTCTATTATTACTTACCTCATTGTAATGAAAACATGCATCATTTTGTCAATGCTTTGCAATTTTATGGTGAGGAAATGAATGTTTGAAATGTCATTATTAAAGCAATATTCTGACTGAGATGTATGTTTATTGGGACTTAGTTTGTACTTAAATTTGTCTGCAAGTTACAGAAAGCCCAAAGTAACAATGGCTTAAATCAAAGAGAAGTTTATTTTTATTTTGAGAAATTAGCATTCCATGAATGTTGTGGAATTTCACAGTATAATTTCACACTATATTTCTACACAGTGGCTTCCATTCCCAGGAACACCTCACAGCCCATGATGAAACTTTAACTACAAAGTGAAGAAAATTATAGTCATCAACAGGATAAAGCACGGCTAGGACTTGAACCTCTGGCTCTATTTTAGGCTAATTATCAGACCTGTATATATGTCTACTCCCAACTTTAAAAAAGACTAGGAAATTTAGGCATTATACAAGGAAGTCAGGCATTCAATTAAAAATGAGAAGCTCTACTATCAGGGATAAATGGAACAATGGGTAATGGGAACATCCAGCAAATCTGCGTGAAGATTCCAGCTGTAAATAAATTCTCCAGTTAGATATAATTATGATTGATCTTTTACTTTCTAATGACAATTTTTTTTTTTTTTTTTTTTTTTTAACCAAAAAGTGTATCTTTTATAAACCAGTCCACACACGGTAAACATGTCTTGTATTGCCTGGTTCTCTGAAGGGTATTTTCCCAGCGTATGACCGCAAAAAATAATACCAATATTAGTGGTTTGTTCAAAAATACTTAATTTGTCAGTGGTCCTCATGTGAATATTATTTTCTTGTAGTAATCTAAATGACTAGGTTTGAGACCACCAAGTTTGTAACCTCAAACTCAATATCTTCATATTAGCCAAATCTACCATCAAATTATAGACCTTTGTGATTATAATCTTTTAAAATTATGTTAATACTATTCAGAATAATAAAAATTATAACAACTAAAAAATCGAATATTTACAATATATAGTTTCAATCATTCGCTCAATTATTTTTTAAAATAATGATTGAGTTTTCATTCTGAGCTAGTGAACAAAACCTCTTTTCTCCTGAAGCTAAAAGACTAGTAGGAGAAGAATGTCAACACATAATTAAATCAATAACACTCTAGTTGTTGATAAATAATTTGAAGAAAAAGAAATAGCACTAAAGAAACTAAAGACTAGTAAGGGACGGCATTTTAAATGCATGCGTAGAAATACCATCTGTGTAAATTGTGAAGAGATCTGAAATAAGTAAGAGAGGAAACTGCATATGTATTGAAGAAACCCCTTTTCAGGCAGAGGAAATAAATATTTGGTGAAGGAGACGGCAAAGAGGCCGCGCACTTGAGCAGAATGAGTTGAGGAGGATGAGGAGGCGCTGAGAGGAAGAATGAGTGGGGGAATCACGTAGACTTCACCCTAGCGACTGAAAAATAGAAGCAGGTTTAAACATGGAAGGAACATAAGACTGTCAGTTCTTTAAAGTACATACTTAAATGTGTCTTGAGGAAAAAATATAAAGGGCAAGAACTTAAGTAATGATCAGTTAGAAGACAATTGCATTAATCTGTAAGAAGAGATCACAAAGTCTGTGAAAAGGTGGTTGTTGTGAAGAATATATACATTATGGACATGGTAGATAGATTTGTCAAAGTTTTATGACAGATACGGGGTCTGTGAGAAATAGAAGATAACCTCGAAAGCTTTGTCCTGACAACTAGCCAATTGCAGTTTCCCTTCATTGAGTGTGGATACACTAATGGTGCAAACTATGGGTAGTCGTGGTTTTTAGTGCTTTGCATGTATTATATTTTCACAACTCTGTGAGATAAATAACAGTTTTATCTTCGTATTACAAAGAGAAAACTGAAGTACAGATAATTTAAATACCTTTTACAAGGGTACTTCAGAAAGTTCATGGGAAGATTCATACATCTTCGTATACAACCTAGTAAGTAGTGGCGTGATTAGCCACAGAGTCCGCATTCTAAAACATTACATTATCCTTTTTGAGGGGCAGGTTTGGGAGAAGAGGAGTCAAGCATTTAGGAAATTTAAATTTAAATTTAATGTGCCTATGAGATAGGCTTAAGAAGAAACACCGAGTAAAGAATTGAACTCCGGAGTTTAGGTGATGAGTTTACATTCAATTAAAAATGAGAAGCTCTACTATCAAGGAAAAATGGAACAAATATATGAATTGTCAGGTATAGGTGCTATTTAAAAATATAGAACTAGATAAGATTAGCTATAACATGAAGAAAGGAAAAGACTGTTTCTTTTGTTAATAAAGGGTTATTCAAACATTTAGGAATAAAAGGAATAAATGAAATACAGATGGAGCACTTTCTAAGGTAGAAACTAAAACAGAAGAGAACAGTGTCACGAATAAGTGTAATATGAAAGCAAATAAAATTGTATTGTTTAGTTATTATTCCTACTAAAATACCTAATATTTACTGGAAATTCTTGCACAGTTGGCTTTCCATGCACAGCAAATGAAGTCTGGACACTAACACAATTGAGCATTTGGTCTGTTTTATTCTAACAGTAGGCAGTCTATGGAAATTCTTACATAAAACTGAAATTTCATGTATTTTTAGTCATTCCAGTGGTGTGAAGACCTTTAGTAACTGCAGCATGGAAGATTTTGCATATTTTATTTCAAATCCAAAGTCTCAATGTCTTCAAAATCAGCCACACTTAGATCCATATTACAAACAGGAAACTTGTGGTAATGGAGTATTGGAACAAGGAGAAAGCTGTGACTGTGGGAGTGAACAGGTGGGTACTGATTTGAAAGAATGTACACCGCAATTGCATCAAGAAGTATTAATTAGTTTGTACAGTGTTACAGTGCCTTATTCAATACAATAAAGCAAATTAATATATCAATAACCTCACATGGTTAGCATTTTCTTTTCTTTTCTTTTTTTTGGTGGGAACACTTAAGATCTACCCTTTTAGCAAATTTCAATTATACAACATAATATCATTAACTGTAGTCACTTTGTCATATATATTAGATCTCCAGAACATGTTCATCTTGCATAACTGAAACTTTGTACCCCTTAGCCCTAACCTTCCCATGTCCCCCTCCTCACAGCCCCTAATAACCTCCATTCTAATTTCTCATGCAAATAATGCCATAAATAAGATCATGAATCCTATAACTGAGTTGCTCTGGGTTTACTCTCTTCCTCTTGAGTGTATTCTTCCCTAGTATTTCTTTTTAACCTAAGATGATCTGCCATTTTAGAAGGATCGATAGAAATCTTTCACTATCACACAAGAAAACATAGAGGCACATTTGTGCATTCTGAATATTTTAATCCAGGTCAGTATTTAAGTTTAAAAGACTTGGAACATACATAATCAAGCAAAGCATTTTTCCAAACCACAAAAATCTTAGACAAAGCTCATGGGTTGGAGGGAGGTGGAAAGAATAGAGATAAAGAGAATATAATGAAGGAGAGAGAGATTATGCGACATAGAGAGTGGCGGAGACCTGAGAAAATCAAAAAGACATGAATGGACCTCAGTTTTTCCTACTGCAATGGCTGAGGTCACTCATGTGTACTCTCCCCAGCACACAAAGTATGTTTCTAGTCACCTAAAGGTGTGATGTGGTTTTAAGAAATTATTCACCATCATCTACTTGTTTTTGCTTTGCTGAGTTTGAAGGAAACATCTTGAAAATTTCCACTGAAATTTGACAGGAATATATCTTAGCTCCATTAAATATTTGTCATATAGTTGAGGTCTAAATCACTGTGATATAACTTTCCCCTCTAGAATTCCATACAGATTGCAGTAGTAATGACATATGGTGGGCATGATAACCGAAGAATACCAAAAATCCAGTGTGTCCTAGTGAGCGTCTTGTTATAACTCATATTAAGATTATTAAAACTCAAGGTTTACCTTTGTGAAACTTACTGTTTTTTTTCCAAATTAAATCAAAACCCTGGGAATTTAGAAATGTGTGTGTGTGTGTGTGTGTGTGTGCATGTGTGTGAGTGTGTGGTGTGTGTGTGTGCATGTGTGAGTGTGTGTGTGTGTGAGTGTGTGTGTGCGTGAGTGTGTTTGTGTTGTGTGTGTTGTGTGTGTGTGTGTGCGTGTGTGTGAGTGTGTGTGTGCGTGAGTGTGTTTGTGTTGTGTGTGTTGTGTGTGTGTGTGTGTGTGCATATGTGTGTGGTGTGTGTGTGTTTGTGTGTGTCTGTAAATGCATTGTCTCTCCAGCCTTCTCCTTTCTTATCTGTTGTCTCTTCGTCTATAAGAGCCAGAGTTCCTTTCATTGTCTCGGCTCTGGTGGGCCCTAGGGCTTCAGAGGAGTCTACTGGTGAAGAGAATTCCTCACTCAGAATATAAAAAACACACAGTCTAGCACATAGTAGGTGATCAACAAATGTCTGTTCAGTAAATGAATGAATAAGTGGCTTTTTTTTCTGTTTGCTAACATGTAAGTTAAGCATCTGTCTGTATATTATATAATATGTTGTCATCATTAAACTGTCTATCCAATGTAAATAAAATTTGAAAGATACATCAGAGCATTTGATTTGCCTTTCAGGAGTGTAATGACAAGGGCAATACATGCTGTAACAGTGCAACGTGTACATTCACAGATGGCTCAAATTGTGATGAAGGACCATGCTGCTCAAATTGTGTTGTAAGATCTTTTCAAAAAATTCTGTATTGCCTACATAAGTAAACTGGTCATTCTTTATAATGCTTATATGTTCATATTCTGCTTTATTCAATATCATTTACCGCAACCCATCAGTTTTCTTCAAAAGGAACTGAATGCAGGCCTGCCATCAATGACTGTGATCTCCCTGAATATTGCAATGGATCATCTGCACAATGTCAAAGTGACTTCTTTGTTCAGAATGGGCATGCGTGTGGAAATGATCAGTGGCTCTGTGTTGACAAAGAATGTAGGAGCGGGAAGCAACAATGTGTGGATACATTTGGTTCAGGTATTTATTACAACTTGATATCCCTTATGTATGTTTTTCTGGAAACCACAAAGAAATAGATATTGATATATAACTGTGACTCTTTCAAATAATGTGACTTATAAGCAAAAAGTTTTAAAGTCTGTGAGACTTCTGAGTTCATGAAATAAGAAGACTGACTGACCACAAGCTACACTCTCTTCGCCCACTCCTTATCTACAATTTTTTGGTAAATATAGAATAAGTAAATATGACTACAGACATTAAAAGGATCATATATATAAGTTGTCATATGAATACAACTTAAACCACACACGCAGGCACACACGTGTGTACACGCACACGTTCACACCTGGGAACTATAAGGAAAATCCCAAAGAGGAACCCAGAAACTGTAAATCCTTGAAAGGTGATGTGAACTGGGGTTGAAAACAAAAAGGAAAATCAAAGCACAAACTATAAATGAAATTATTTTTTGATAAAAATGAAAACGGCAACAAAGGTAACTACTTCATGCTCATATAAGAGGAATCAAGAGCAATGGCTGCTGTTTCCGTCATCCTTATTATTCATTTATTTTGGGGATTGATAATTACTTTGCAACTTGTTTTTATACAGAAATTAGAATTAGACTTGCTACCTGTTCCAGCTGAAAACCAATCAATCATGGATAGTTCAAGATTAGAAAATAAGTTTCTGTAAGGATTTAAATAAAGTGGCACTGTAAATTTAGGAATCTGTCATGAGGTTTTTAAATCTTTGCATATTAGAAATTGCCCCTGGCTTTCATGTTTAAGAGAACTGTGTGAATATCCTCAATCACCTGTCAGTCACTAGATCTAGCACGGCATATCAGAAAAGTGATAGTCACATAGTTTATGCCAGGGATGGAAACCAGATAGCATCCAAACAAATTAGTGACGTGAAGACATGTAAATAATATGGAAAATGACATTTCACTCAATGGAAAATGACATTTGATAAAGTTTTAAAATGTCTCAAGAACATGGAATATCTTTCCATCTTCTTGTATCTCGTATAACTTCGTATAATGTATGCTATACGAAGTTATTACGTATAAAAGTATTCTAAAGTATTTAAGAAATAGATTAGATTTATGAATAGAAAAATTTAATTTTCAACAAATTAGTTTAAAAGTTTAAAGCAAACAAAATGAAAATCCCAGCAGAATATATTGAGGAATTTAACCAGATGTCCTACAATGTCGGCACAGTTGGAAGACTTTTCTTATTGGCCAATAATCATAATGAAATGGTTAATTAGCACAACTAGCAAGTAGACCTTACTGTGGTCCGAATGACCATGTCCCCTTCCAAGTTCATATGTTGAAATCCTAACCCCCAATGTCAAGCAGGGCCTCTGGGAGGGGATTAGGTTATGAAGGTGAAGCCACCGTTAATGGAATTAGTGCCCTTATAAAAGAGACCCGAGAGAAATTCCTCATCAGATTACAGTGGAAAGTCGGCTGCTGTGAGAAAGCAGGCCTCGCCAGACATGGAGTCTGCTGCGCCTTGATCCTGGATTTCCTCCACCTCTAGAACTGTGAGAAATAAATTTCCGTGGTTTATAAGCCACCCAGTCAATGGTATTCTGTTATAGTTGCCCTATGAATTAAGATAACCAAATAGAACAGGAAAATGAATGAATAGAACAGAATACGCAGACAAGAAACAAACTTCTAGGAAATTGATCCAGCTATCACAAACGTGAGACCACAAAATAATAGACAAGAGGAAGATTTTTAAAAACCGAAATGGCTTATATGGAAAAAACTGAGCCAGAATACCACCTAATTGTACAGAGTGGTGCAACTCAGAAGCTAAAATATAGCAATTCAGTAAAATAATAAATGATGTGATTTCATCCAAAGTTAGGATTTCTCTTAAGTGGAGGACATTGTACACGAATTTAACAGAGAAGATATCTATCAAGTCTGAAAACAGCAAAGGAACTTCTGTGGAATATAAAATGTTACAAAAAATAGGAATTTTAATAAAAAGAGGTTCATTACATAGAAAGATAATTCACAGAGTGTGATATCCAAATAGCTAACCAGTATTTGGAGTTGTATTAAGCTTTACTCATAATCAGAATGCTGCCAATTAAAAGAGAATAAAAATTAAATGCATTTGTTACAATGTAGAAAATATCATACCGCAACCCCCCCCAACCCCCCCCCCAAAAAAAAACCCCTCAAAACCCATGCAATTTATGGGTAACATTGCAAGAATCTTAAAAAAGTGATGGTCAAACAGCATTGAAAGGAAAACCTACAAAAAGTATACTGTACAGCAATGCTATATATGTGAATTTAAAAAGGAACACACAAATGTAAGAAAATGCAAGTTATAAAAATTTAGGTGACAGTCTATGGTGAAGACAAAGTAGGAAGAAGGGGAGAAATTTTTTAAATGGTTCTTTTAATGATGATAGTCTTCCATAAATTGAAATTTGTGGTTAACTATACTTTCTGTAGTAATATCTAATTAAGACAATTTTCAAATAGAAATCATCAAAGCAAAGTAAAACACAGGAGGACCTCAGCTTCTGCAGTCGTTGATTAGTGTGGTTGAGACAAAATCTCCTGATGAGAACAACTATCAAACTGAATAAAATAATTTAAAAATTTATTTGAACGTGTTTCAGGGCCACCAGGGAAGTGAGAGGGATGCTCAGAGAGGGGAGGCCAACGTTTCATTCTTGTTCATTGAGGCATTTGCTACTTTGAAAGTAGAGGCTGAGACAACAGACGGGACAGACACCACCTGCCCCTGAGCAGCTCAAACAGTGAACATTAGAACGTCTCCGGCTCACAGGGCTGGGAAGACAGACACTGGAGTTCAGCCTTTGGCGAGGAAAACAAGTCCTAATAAACATCCCACGTTTTATTTGGGACTAAGGACTCTGTGATGGAAAAGTGTGACCTGGAGGTGGACGAGGCCCCATGAAGACTAAGGTCAGTTTTGGGTCAGCTTAATTCCTGACTGGATTAAAGTGATCGTTTCCATTCTAAATGCCGGCTAGAAGCAGAGGGAGGTTTGATCTCGAGGTAGATTACATCATATTATTATTTTTACATGATGCTTAAAATAACTACATATTAAAAGAACAGAAATTGCAGAAGGTCGAGGTGGGGGGTGGGCACCTAGAGCGTCAGCCATGCCCTGTGCCCGTCCCCCCACTCCACCTCCAACCCAGAGAGGACCCCCGGGGCTTCCCTGGTGGAGTGAGATGGGCGTTATCGCCTTGGCCATGTCCACCTGCCCCCTGCCTCGCCTCCCACCCCATCCCCCTCCCCTTTCCGCTCTCTCCCCAACTGCTCTGCAACATCTTAGAATGTAAAAAAAATAAAAATAAAAATAATAATTAATTAATTAATTAATTAAAAAGAAAAAAGAGAAATTAAAGAAGATAGCAATACAAAAAAACAAAAGAAAGCACAGGAAACGAGGATATTGGAGATTTAAGATATGAGCATTAAAACCATTGATAAATATACTGAAGAAATTAAACGAAGAGTTGAAGATTATCCTAAAAGACATGATTACTACAAAACATATCGTATGGAAATTTTAGAAATTAAATATATGTAATATAAGTTTCTAGAATTAAAATTAGAAATGCAGCTAGGTTTAGTTTTTCTACTATATATACATCAAAACATGTTGTACACAGTTTCTCTGTTAATGTAAAAATAAATAAATGAATAATAATAAAAAGGAAAAATTTAAAAAGTATAATTAAGAACTCAATTGATGAGTTCTTAAGCAGATTAATCACACTGGAATAGAATACCTGTAAACTATGAGTTTGAAGACAGATTGAGGCAGATAGAAACCAAAGAAAGGCAAATTCAGAGGAGTCCATGAAAGGTATATTGGGTTTGTTGACAAAAGACTAACATATAGAAGGGTATTTCAAAAAGTTCATGGAAAACTGGAATTAAAAGATAATACAAATCTTTCCAAGAACAGCTTGAACTTCCTCGTTAATTTTATTCCTAAATATGTCTTCTTTTTGATGCTATTGTAAATGGAATTGTTTACTAAATTTCCTTTGGAATTTTTTGTTGATAATGTTGAGAAATGTAACTGATTTTTTGAGTGCTGACTTTGTATCTTACACCTTTTATGAATTTGTTTTTTAGTTCTAACAGTTTTCGGTTTTTGTCTGTTTCTTGAAATTTTTAGGCTTTTCTATATATATATATATATAAGATTATGTATCACATAATTTGCAAACAGAGAATTTTACATCTTTCCAATTTAGATGTTTTCTCTTTCTTTTTCTTGCCTAATGGACTGACTCACTAGGATTTCCAGTACTGTGTTGAATAAGTCAGCTTCCTTGTCTTGTTCCTATTATTAAAGGAAAAGCTTCCAATCTTTCATCATTGACTATTACTTAGCTGAGTGTTTTTTCAGATGGCCTTTATTATATTGAGATGCTTTCCTTCTACTACTAGTTTGTTGGGTGTTTCTAATCATTAAAGAACATTGAATTTTGTAAAATGCTTTTTCTGCACCAACTGACATAATCATGTGTATGTTTTTCCCCTTCATTCTGCTATTTTGATGTATGACATTAATTGTTTTTTGTACATTGAACCATCCTTGCATTCCAGGAATAAATCCCAGTTGGTAATGTTGTATAATAATTTTAATATGCCCTTGAATTCAGTTTTCTAATATTTTTGAAGGTTTTTGTGTCAATATTTCTAAGGCAGATTGGTCCACAGTTTCCTTGAAAAATTTTGTATCTATATTTTGTGTCTATATGAGGAATACTGGTCTCAAATTTTTCTTTTCTGAAATGTCTGAGTTGTATTAGTATCAGGTCTCATTTAAAGAAGTTTTCTCTACTCATAATTTTTTTATTGAGGATTTTTTAAAATTATATGTACTTATGGGATACTACGTGACATGATATTTTGATATATGTCTACAATGTGGGATGATTAAATCAATATAGTTAACATATATTTATGAGATGCAACATGA